ACACTGATGCAGTGAATAAAAAGCAGGTCACCTCTCAGAAGCGTGTGCAGATCCCATGCAAGCCATTGTCTAAAATTAGAGGCTGTGTTGGTCTTTAGTTTGTGTTACAGAGATGTTGTTTCCCCAAGTAAGAATTGATTCTGGCCTGAAAGTGAGTTATAACACAGGCAGTCACTGCTGTGAGGAGGCAAGGATGTGCTGTGTGTGGCTGCTGTGTTTGCAGAGGGACAAATCCTGCACCAGGCAGACGCTGCCATCAGTGTCCCACTGCTCCTCTTCTCTGCATCAGCACTGGGCATCCTGCAGACCTACAACTGGGGAAGTGCTTGTAACAGCTCCTGCTCCACTCTCTCCTCCTCTTCCCCAGACAGTGTAAACTTGTGCATTTAAGGTATGTTTTGGAGAGGTTATATTTTGATGGGTGAAACCTTTAGCTTGTCTGGGGTTTGGCCACTTCATTTATGAAGGCAAAGCAGAGAAGTAGTTTGGAGATAAACAGAGATTACTCCAAAAAGTGATTTGAGTTGACTTCTTCCGTAATTCTAACTAGTATTAACAGATAGGCCATCATCAACTAATATAAATACAGATTTGCTAATCTATTATAAGTGAAGAAACTCAGTTGTGCAAGGATTTTGGTTTAAAGAAGATTTTCAGAGGAGCATAGTGTTGGCTCAGAAGATTTTCAGAGGAGCATATTGTTGGCTCAGCAGTTTTTCTGAGCCAGTGAAAGTGGTTAAATGTAGATCTCCAACTCTTCTTTCCTTTCCTGTTATAGTACTTCACAATTAAGCTCTTACTTTTTTATATTTCCTGAATATGGGAGCGATGTAAAACATGTTGAAGTAGAACCTGAGGGGCTGGGAATGTAGTGTAAGTATGGATTTATTTTTAAAAAGAGGGGAAAAAATATCTGGCAGAAGTTAGTTGTATATTCTTTGAGCAACTAATGCTCTGCACTGGTGTTTGTTTCCAAAGCCGTGGCTGATAGACCCAGTGACAAGGTCTCACCTCCTGGTCCCTGCCAAAAACCCAGTGAATTTTGGAGGGCTAAAAGCAGAAGATGGAGAGCTGTAGGAATACAGGGACAGCCTCAGTCCTGACAAGCACAGACACAGCTCCTGCTGCCTTTGCCTCGTTCAGTCAGAGCTGAACGAGCTCCAAAGTGTTGGTGTAAGGCTCTTGTAGCACCAGTGTAGACCTGCCTTGCCCTGCAAGACAGTGCTAAAGCTTTTTTTGTCCTAAGGGACTGTGGGAAAATGAGAATAGCTCCATATTTTTGACAATTGTTAAATGCTTCCGGTGCTTCCTGTATGAAATATCTGGTGTGTGTTAAACCACAAAACAGCAGAAGAAAGAGGGGGCTTAAATTTAAACTAGTTTAAAGAAAGTACTTTACACACAGACTCTTCCTTGCCCCAGTAAGAGAGTGTGGGGACAGATTGCATCAGTTGGTCTAATCAGGGATTAGACAAATTTGTGATGACAGATCCATAAACCAATGGGAGCAGTTGGCATAACAATGTAGATGTTGGGGGAATATGAGGGGGACAAGCAGTAGGAAGCAGACAGGTGTGTGCTTTCCTCTTGGAGTCAAAGCCTGAGCTGGAAGGACCACTCTGACCAATAACATATTTCTGGTGTTCTTGATCTTGTGATTATTATCATCGTATCCAGACAGTGGGAAAGGGAAGCAGTTCCTTGTTTTGCTGATCACCTTCTCTTACTCAGAGTAAGTTTTGGTGTGTAGGAGCTGTAAAGAGAACAAGACACTGTGAAGGAAAGGGGAGAAACAGGGGATCTCTGGGGACAGAAAGGAAAGGAGAAAGCTGGAGCAGGAGGATGCTAAAGCAAATGGGGTAACATGAATACAAGAAATGATTTCCAGAAAATAGAGATGGGAAGAACACCTTCTGATCACTAGTGAGAAGGCTTGCTTGAATTTTTAAAGGCTGATTTGTGCCCCTACAGTGGCACACACTTGGGAGCCTGGCAGTTTTCCCTCAAAACCTATAGACCCCTGCAGGGGGGAAGTCTCCTCCTAAGCTTCCTCCTCAAATGAAACCCAAAATAATCAACAGGTAATAAGTCAGTAATAAAAAGCAAATATTCTGATTTTGGGACTGTCCAGTTCATTTTTTTGTAATTAACAGAATTTTGCCTTGATACACTGGATACTGGCCTATGAAAGGATCAGCTCAGACAGCAACACTTGCACTGTTTGAGTGGCAAAGGTAGAGTAAATCTTTGCCTTCTCTTTTCTGAGCCTTTTAGGAGCAGCTTTCCTCATGTAAGTTTTAGCAAAGAAATAATCCATGCATGCTCATTGCTTCTCTCATGCTTGTATGATTTTAATGATAATTAAGTAGTACATGTCTGAGATCCAAAGGCAACCCAGATTCTAGTGTGCCTGACTCACTTCTCCTCTCTGAACAAAAAGGGGAAACAACAAACCTCTGTGTGAGGCTTTCTGATGTTCTGGAGGGCTCAGTGCTTTACCCTGCTCCTCTTATGTAGACATCCTTGGGTAGGTATCTGATACTTTCCAAATTTTGCAGTAATTGGTTACAAGAAGGGAAAAAATGTGTTCTCTCGTGCACAGAGAGAGTTCCTTGATGGTCTGAAATGTGTAACGTGGCTTTTCTTACCTGTAAGATGAATTGAAGCAAGCCTGGAAACGTGAGGTTTGCCTTTTCTCCTTACATAGGTTAGTGGAATAGGGATGCAGAAAAACTGAAGTAAGGAGCAGTCAGAAAAAAAAGACCTTTTTTAATCCAATATTTCCTTGGTATTTGTGAGAACCACTCAAACTTTTTCTTTACTCATGTGTGTGTGTCCCTGTGCCCGTGCAGCTTGTCTGGTACTGAGTGCTTGGTGTAGATGGATCAGGACTAAACAAGGATATCATCCAGGTAATAAGCAGGTGAGCAGCTGGAGAACTCACTTTGAGGCCACCTCGGGATGTATTTTTACTAAGAGGAAAGTGAGGTAGTTCCTAGCTCTGAAATTTAGTAGCTGGTAGTGGTCCCTGTTAATGTCAGTGGTTATAAACAGCTTAGGATGTGTGTGTTTTGGGGTTTTCCCCCTTAGGAAAACTGTGGCAGCAACAGAAACTCAAGTAGAATCCCAGACTCAATGGTTATAATCATCACAATAATCATGATCTTTTTACTTGTACACATAATTGGTAACATTTTCAGTTTAAATATTAAATTCTTCAAATATATTTTAATATCAGTCATAGATGCATCTATCTCCCAACTTTTCTGAGAAGAGTGAATAAGCTCAAGCCTTCCATGATCTATTTACAGAACCACATGACCACTAACATTGTCTTAACACAGTTTTCAGTGGGGATGGCACCTTCTTGTGTGTGCCTGTAAAGCTGAACACTGGAAGTACTTTAATGCAAGCCACAGAATAATAACACTTGTTCAGACATTTTAAAATATGTATTATTGATTATTTTTTCTTTTCTAGCTTTGTCTCATAAGGATCATGTTGTTCCACGTGTCCTATTATCTGTCCCTTATAATAACTGGCAGAGCCAATGTAGAGATCTCAAAGGGAGGACACACCAATCATTTCTGTTCTGAAGAGGGAAAAATACCCAGGCAGATGCTGCATTAAAGAATGCAACGTGAGCTCAACCTGTGCATCAAAGAACCCACAAAAGCATGACAGGGCAGTGTCACCCTCCCTCCTCCCCACTCCCCCTCCCTGGCTTGTCAAATCCTTATAAACAGATTTTCTCTCTCTAGTGTGTATTGATAAGGAATACCAGAGAGCAGTTATGATCTTATTTTCCCTCCTGCTTTTTTTGGAAGTAAGTACTTTGTGTTTGTTTACAAACTGCTGGATTCGGTTCTGTGTTGTTACATAAAAAATGGTAAATCTAACTCGACACCTCCATTCAGTTAACCACAAGACATTTTTCACCTGGCAAGCACTGCAACATATAAAATATTCCTTCCTTCCTGACACCGAACCAAAACTCTATTTAAAATTGCATTTAGTTGCATTTTCTTTAGAGACATCTTCTTGGCAACTCTTATATTAAAAAAGGGAAACGTTGAGTTCATTGCAATTGATCTGTGGTAAAACTAATTTAAAAACCAAATAACTTTTGGTTGCAATGAAATGATCTCAGTTACAGAAGATGACCTTTCTAGGAGCAGGACATTTTCAAGTACAAGTCACCTGTAATTTTACAAGGCAAAGCACAAACAGTGTATTTGTAGATAATAAATTTTTGGATAGCATCGCTGACTCATCCAGAGAAAGTCTGTGAGAGGAGATGCAACCCTTGCAATAATTCTGTGAGCATCACAGGGCTGATCAGTGTGAGGAGGAGATGATTAGGCCAGAAGCCTTCAGTTCAGAAAAGAGACAACTTGGAATGCAACAGAGGTTACAAAACCATTAGTGAGATTAGATAAAGACTGGCTGTTCAGCACCTCTTCTAATACAAGAATTCTGGAGACCTTGCACAAGCCTAACAGATTCAGGACATGTACATGATGAAATGCAAGGTAAACCTGGGAAGCTCATTTCCATAAGGATATTAAAGTCTCCTTGCTTTGAGAGAGTGAAGTGTTATATGGAACAGAAATATGCTGAGGACTGCTCTGTGCAGGGAGCCACATCTGACCCAGCAGGTTCCCTGAGATGAAAAAAAGCCTCAGTTTGGAAGCACATTTAGACAAAGTGTTGTGTATTTGTAATTTGTGCCTTGTCCTTTCCTCTTTCCTGCAGTCTCTCTGCAATGGTGCAGTGTGTAGCCCAGCTTTTGGTCTGACTTGACTGATCTCAGTTTTGTACTTGACAGCCTGATTTGGTAAATAAGGAAGGATGTGACCTTGGAGTAGATTTTGAGTCTGGTTTTGTTGGTTTTGCTGTGCAGAAAGACCGATGGACATTTGAACCACAGTAAACACAGTGAGACTTAAAGTAGGTGTCACCTGGGCTGTAACCATCCATCTTCCTGCTTCCACTGACAGATTCCATGGCCAAGTGTGGGCACTGTGGACAGGCAGAGGATGAGGAGGATGACTTCATTGAGCCTGGCAGAATCTCTGACTGATCTGGCAATGGGACTTAAGTAACAGACTTGAGTCACTTCTCCAAAGAAGTGACCCTGCTCCATCCAAACCTGCACTAAGAATCCTGGGGGAATGAGTTGTGTGAACTCAGGAGGCAAAGAATGTTCTCTCCAATGTTCCCCAAAGTGGGAAGCAGGCACACCTCTCTGGAAATGGCACAAGAGGTACTTGGAAAGGGCATGGGAGCAGCTCTAGGGTTGGAAGCAGCACACTTTGCCTGCCTGGTTCCTGCTTTTGGGGCTGGTAGGGACAGGAGCCGAACGGCACAATTCATTTGTGGAGGGAGAGGGGGTTGAGCAAGATAATTAGGAAATGCTGGCCTGGGCAAGTCCTGGGGTAGTAACAAAGAGGAAACTCTACTTTGCCCTTCACTTGGCACAGAACAGCTCTGCTGCCCTGACTCACTCCCTTAGGATCGATGACTGTTACATTTTTTACCCCTGACTTCACTCCTGCAAGAACCCTTGAAACAGCAAAATTAGCACATTGCCATGATATTTTGGGGCCTTCTACTCTTACTGAAGGAAAGATCATTGACTCAGCTCCCAGCTGGACTAGGCTCTGAAGGCATACTGGTAGGACAGAGCTTCTGTAGCACTTTCCTGTTTGAAACTCCTTAACCTGACTGAAGTGCTCGGGAATGCCAGACGGAAGCTCCTTATTTTTCTTGGCATAAGTTGCTGGCTTATATTTAAAAGAACTATTCTGGAGCTTGAATTTTCATTATTTTTAATAAACTTTCGGTTAAATTGTTGCTATTAAATAAAGTGTTCATCGTCTGGAAAAGACCTTTAACTGGCTGGGAATAATCCTGCTAGACAGTGTATTTATTTATTTCAGTTTAAATCTGTCGCTGCTAGGCTTTGGGTTTCTCTTCCAGGGAGGAGGGGTACATAAATCAAAATTTTATTCTGAACTAATTGCCTTGTTCTGAATTGCATAAAACATTTGATCTTTTTCCCTATAAAATTTCAGGATAGAAGGATCATTAACATTAAAGATAATATGAAATATTTGTTGAGCATGAGATGGAAGCTTCTCTTTGCATGATATTTTCCCCTTCTTGTCTCACAGCTAAAAGTGGCCTGGGTATGATGAAGCAGCACTATGGCCATGAGTGGTGGTGAGTTGCACCCAGTTTGATTGAAGTTTTTTGTCTGCATGGTGAAAAAGGGTCTCCTGATCCAGCAAAAATAAAATAGGCCAAATGTGAATGTTAGTAGCCATCAGTTTTTGTCTGGAAAAGAATATAAGAGCTAAGAAAAATTAACCAGAGCCACTTGAATGTAATTGGAACATATGGCAGCAAAATGGCCACTCATATCACAGCAGACAGTTAAAACAAGTTTCTTTTTATCACTCCACATTTGAATTGAACATCCTCAGAGCTGTGACAAATGCAGTGCTGGATGAGAGGGGACTGGCTGACAGTTTTCTTCCAATGATGGTTAATTTTCTTCTTGGAATGTGGTTGAAAGCCTTCCATGAATTGTGCAGCATCACCTGTTCCTCAGTGAAAAGCAGCACTTCTGCTGTGCTGGAGATTTCAAGCAATTATGCAGCCACACAAACTGCTTATCCACCTGCTCAACTGTGTGCTCAAATGTTAATAATGCCTACTAAGTGCTTCTGCCTCCTTCATAATATTACCAAACCTTTTTTTTTCCAGGTAAGTTTACCAAATCCTAAGTCATCATGTGCCCAGACCGGCCCTAAAACCAACTTACACAGGTTACAACAGAACCCTTTGTGTTGTGTCAGCTGGGGCCTTAGCCCTTCCTCCTGTTTGCCTTGGACTTCCAAGTAGTTTGTACATATTTAAAACTGCCTTCCAGCTGTACTTCTGAAAAAAATACAGGGATGTAAAGACTTGATCTATGAGGTTCTGGTCATCAAATTTGTTTAAACTTGTAAGTTTATAAAATCGACCTGTGAAAGAAAAATCCTATTCTGGTGAAGCTGCTTCAAAATAAAAATAACTACAAATGCTGCAGTTTTTACAGGCTTACACTCAGTATTTTATCATGGCCATACAACAATTATGGGGTGACTTGGGGCACAGGCACGTGTTTCCTGACTGATAAGATTCCTCACCTCCCTCTCCTTCCACAAGTGCTGGTGTTGAGTTTGTCATTGTAATGATTACAGTGGCAATCACACCAGTAATTTGTCAAAGCAAAATGTAGGCTCTAAGGATTCAAAACAGGAATTAGATTGGGTCCAAAGAGAGCCTTGATCAGCCTGAAAACTATTCCTGGAGTTCTGTGGTCTGCTTCTACACCTCTGTGTATGGAGCACATTTGGGACAGCAACACAGGAAATATGTAGAAGCAGCTGATGCACACAGAAAACTTGCCATTGTAGAGTTTGAGAGGTGAGGAAGTTTGTTGGCCAGTGGGTTGATCAGTGATCTTCTGCAAGCAGCAGCTTTTGGTTTCTTTTCCCTGCTTTGAAGTTGAGTAACTTGGTTACATTTTGAATTTCAGCCTTGTAAAGTGCTTTCAAACTTAACAGTCAGGTGTTATTTGTGGTTGCATCCATTACAAGGCAGACACTTGCCAGACACTTAGGAAATTCCTGATTCAAGTGATAAAGGAAGGAAACTGGAAAAAAAATACAGTTAAGCCAGATCTAAGTAAAACAAGTAACACACCAAGGAAAGGTGTGTAAGAGAATTCATTGTGGGAGGGGGGCAAGGCTGGGAACCACGAGGTACATCCAGGGCTGCAACAGAAATGGACTGTTCATGGCAAGTCACTCTGCCTGCTGGTGAGAACACACTTTCCAAATGGAAGGGCTCTGTAATTCTGTCAGGCAGAGTTCTGTGTGACCTGTAATTATGTCCCTATGCTCTTCTATTAATTTACACTCCAGCTTTTCTTTGCTTGTATTCAAGCAGACCCATATTATGATGCAAATTTACCAGCACCACAAAGGCCAAGTTCCAAGTAAGTGTTCATAAGTGAGTTTTTGTCATACCTGTTCAAATCACAAGTCAGGGGAAAAAGAAAGAAAACGTGCATTGAAACCATTAATTTAACATGTTAGTACAGATCTAGATTCATTAATAAAATACAAAGTTGCAGTTTTTCTGGGTGCAAACTTTACTTACCTTTATGAGAGGTTTATTTATCCCTATACTTGTCCAGAACAGCTTCCCATTGAGTAAAATTCCCAGTATAAACACAGTTCTAATATAAATCTGCTGTGGCCAGTAGGAGCTGTGTTTTGCCTCTAACACACTGAAGTTTCTATGTATAGACCACATGGCTAATTTCCAAAGAAAATAAACACAATATTAGTCTTAATGCATTCAGCAGCTTTTGTCTTAGGAAAGGTGAAGAAAATGGTGTCTTTGGACATTGTATTTCATAAGACTGCAACTGAGGTACTAGAAATTTCAAGCATTTTGTCTAAAATATGGTTTTTTTGGTAAGGATAACAAGTAACTCCTATCTCTGTAATTGCAAAGGGCATTATAGAACCGTCCCACACAATCCCAGAATGGTTTGGGTCGGAAGGGACCTTAAAGATCATCCACTTCTAACCCCCTGCCAGGGGCAGGGACAACTTTATCTGCAGATCATCATCACACCTTCCATTGGTCCTTCTGACACAGGAGCACTCTGGTTTCACAGCACATGAGAGGAGGGGCAGCGACTTCCCCAAGGACAAACTTCACACACCAACCAGGTCTCTGGGTGGGGGAAAGCTCAGGGCATGGGACAGCCCTGCGGGAGCTGAGGGAACAGGAGGCACCACAGGAGAAAACAGGAGAAACGATCCAAAGATGACAAATGATCCAAAGACCCTGTTATCTCCTGTTAGAACAATTTGTTCCTCTCTTCACCTGTGACAACAAGTCCCAAGAATGTGTTACCTGTTGTAATTCTCAAGTATTTCAAGCCAATCTCCCAGTAGTGGGGATTGATGCCTCCTCGTTCCCTATTCGGGGATTTGGAGTTTCCCGTTGACGGGATTTGCTCCCTGCACGGTGCGTTTGGAACACCAAAGTTAACCCTGACTGGCTCTGGAGAAGGTGGTTCAGCTGGTGGCATCTGCCTTTGTCGGTGGCCCTTTAAATTCCCTTTCTAGACATTTCTCCCTCGGCTGTAGTTGGTAAAACAGGAATAAACCTGCGGTCAAACACGGGCCAGCCACGAAAGCGCTCCCGTTCCCGGGGGGTGCCCCCGGCTTTGATCGCATTCCCAGCGAGGGAGCGGTGAATAAACAGCTGCAGATCAATGGCTTCGGTGCTTCCCTTCCCCGCTGTGCCCGCACCGAGCCGGGCCGGGCTCCCACCCCCGGACCCCTCAGACCCCTCCGTGTCGGCGCGTCCAGGGCCGTTCCTCGGCCGCCCTCCGCTTCCAGCGCCAATTAAATGCCTCTTCCGTAGTAAACCAGAAACAGGGGCGAGAGCCAGGAAGGCGTGAAAACTTTTCCGCCGTGGCTTTGGCCGTGAGCGGCCGCCCCCGCCCCCCTCCCCCGTCCCTCCCCGTGCCCTCCCTCCCTGCCGGCCCCTCCAGGGTCCCCGACGGGGACAGCGATTGTCCCTGTATCCCCCCACCCGCTCCCAACAAAGCGCGACCCGCTCCGATCTCGCCTTCAGAAAAGTTCGCTTTATTTACAAGGGGAGTGCCGGGGGGGTCCCCCCTACTTACACACACGCGTTTGTAAAATTAGCCAGCCCCCCTGACAAAAACGCAAAGGAGCGGCTGAGAAATAAATAAACCTCTCCCACCGCCCGAGGCGCAAAAAAAAAAAAAGCTCCGCGGTCAAAGGGGCTCAGGCGATCCTGCTGCAGAACTCGTGGAAGTCCCTCTCCATGAAGAGCTCGCTCTCGATCACATCGTCCTCGGAGGGGAAGTACGGCTGGCTCTCCTCCTGCGGGGACCCCGCGGGCCCGGCCCGGGCGGGCGGGGAGCGGGCGGCGGGTCCGGGCTCCCCCGCGCACTCCATGAGCGCCCCGCGGGCGTTCTCCAGCACCCCCAGGTACGAGTCCATGTCCAGCGGGTCCATCTCGCAGTCCGACCCGCCGCTCTCGGTGCCCACCGAGTCCGAGCGCAGGTGCATGAGCTGGTACTTCTCCCGCATCAGGAACTGGTTGGTGTTGCGGGGCGCCCGCATCCCCGGCGCCCGCTGGCCCAGCACGTTGACGGGCCGCAAGGACAGCAGCACCCGCGGCCGCGCCGGGCGGTGGCAGCGGCGGAAGGCGCGGCAGTGCTGCTGCTGCAGCTGCTGGTGCTGGAAGTGGCTGTGCGTGCGGCTGCCCAGCAGCTTCCGCGCCCCGCCGGGGACCCTCCCGCGCCGCCCGGGCGGCCAGCGGGACCGGCTGCCGCCCCGCCGGGGCTCGGCGCCTTTCAGCGGCGGCGGGGAGGAGTCCCCCGGCAGCCCCTGGCCGCGGGCGGGCTCCCAGGGCGGGCACACGGCGAGCCCCGCGCGTCGCAGCATCGCGGCCCCCCGGCCTCTCACATGCTCCGCACCGCCGGGACGCCCCCGCCGCGCCGCTCCAGCGCCGCCGCCTCCCCGGCGCGTCCTCTGCTTCTCTCCGGGCTCAGCGGCCGCTTCCCCAAGAGCCCTGCAGGGGCCTCTGCGGGTGCCTCTACCTTTTCACGATCCGCTCTGTTTTTTTCTTGAGCGGAGCCCGTTGGCAGCGCATAGCCTGGCTGAAGGGCTGCGGGCTGCGCGGCAGCTTGACGGGCTCCAAGCCGCCGCTTCGGAGATGGTCTCGCCTACTCCCCCGGCCGGGCGCCGCTGGGCTGTCAGCGCTGCGCCGGGCACGGCGGGCCGGGGCAGGGCCCGGGAGCGCAGTTAGCGAGGGGAGGGGACGGCGCCGAGGCACAGGGACCGTACACGGAGGGCCCGCACCGCCCGCCGCCCCGCGCCCACTGCCGGCGCGCTCCCGAGCACCCCCTATTTATCAGCTCCGGCGCAGTCCAACCGCCGCCGCGCCGCGGGGGGGACGCAAGGGGAGCACGGCCGCTCCTCAGCCAGCCTGCCCCTGGCAAACCTCGCCCTCGGCGCCCGGGGAACGCGGCCGCTCTGCGCTACCACTGCGCGCCAGCTCGCGTCTCCCGCGTTATCCCGCGTTATCCCGGGATCTTTCCCCCGAGGCGCGCCTTGGCTCGGCCCAGCGCTGCGGCCGCAGTGTTTGTTCATCCCCTATTCACGAACGCCGTTTGCGCTCATTTCCCCGCGCAAGCGCCGTTGCCCGCCCGTCTTTGCAGCGGCGCTACGCAGAGTGCGTACGGCACCCGACCCTTACGGAGGCACTACGCAAACGGCGTACGGCACCGGACCCTTAAAGAGGCGCTACGGAAACTGCGCACGGCACCCGCCCCTTACAGAGGCGCTACGCAAACTGCGCACACCGTGAGGGGCGCTGGGGGGGGGGGACGAAATGGCCGCGGGGGAAGCGGGGAGAGAGAAGGGGTGGCCCGGGGCCGTCACCGGGCGCTGTAAAAGCGCCGAGTCTCTCTGCCAGCGCCTGCTGCCGCCCTTCCCCCATAGCTCCAGGCTGGGGCCGGCGGTGCGGGCGGGGAGTGGTGACCTTCCCGCGGGTCCCACAAAATGGTGCCCGCGCCTCAGCGAGGGGCGACAGCGCCTGCCCCCTCAGCGGCCCCACGCCGGGGCAGTCTCTTCTTGGGCCTTCAGGATGTTTTTTAAATTCCCTTTAGCGTTTCCAGCGGAATCGGTGCTTTTTCATCAGTATAGTGAAAAATTTGAACAGAGACATTCATTCTTGTAGTTTGGGGACTGCCCCAGTTACTCGTGCTGGGCCTTGGTCCTTCTGCTACAAATTTCCCCTGGTTTTCAAATCCGGGTTTTTTTTTTGGTTTTTTTTGGGTTTTTTTTGGCCCTGTATATAACAAATATGACAGTGACTTCCCTGTTCACCTCTTCATGGCCAATTTGTTTATAAAAAATGAGCTTAGCATTGCCCAAATGGTTCCAAGTAAAGACTGCCTGAACAAGGGCAGCAACTCCCATGTAAGTAACACTTTATTATTCTTTGATAGTGAGGGGCAAAGAAGTACAAAATACACAGGGAAGAACAAGGTGAAATGGATTTGTGATCAACATTGCTAACAACAAATTGCCAACATTTGTATTTCATTTCCTTTAAATTCCATTCAGGAGTTATATGATATTTTAAAGTCAGCTGGCCTTATCACCTGTGTGTTTTACAAACTAAATGCCAAAATGGAAGGAGCTGGCACTGGAGCAAGCACCGGTCACAGCTGTTTAAAAACCTGCAGCCTCTGAAATCTGAGGGAATGTGAGAGCAGGGAGAGGCTGCAGTGCTTCCAGAGTATATAAAGATGTTTATAAAGAAATGCCACATGCTGTGGTAGAACCCAAGCCCTCCTCCCTTTGGTCCTGAGTTGTCACAGGATTTTTCCCAGATGCATTAGACAGCAGCATGTGTTGAAATAAACTTCTGCCACTCCAAACTTTCCTCCAGGATACAGATCATCCCGGATCTCTGTGTTTGTACAGGAGACTCTGCCCTGGCAAGCACATGCACTCAGTCTCTCCCTGTCTCCTGTTGGTCAGCCCTGCTTACTCTGGCCTCGGTTCTCATTTTCTGCTTCTCTGGTTGTGGTGCAGATTGAGCCCACCTTTTAGCTGTTCTAGAGGGATGTACAAAATTCTGCGCAGAAAACAATCTCATGCTTCTTTATGCAGGCGAGAATTCCAGCTAATGTGGCTCCCTTCACATCTGGATTGTCCCTGATCCACAGACTGAGACACTGCCCTGGACAGACCAACGAGCTCATCCCGTACCCAGTCCTGCAAATCAAAATCCAAAGCCTTTATTGAAACATTTTATTGATACCTACATTTGTGTTAGTACCAGAGTTTTTAGAGCAATAGGAAAGCATGACATGGAGGCAGCTGAACTGTTTGTGCCATTATTGACTTGACCTTCATTCCCCGTGACCTGTTCTGGTTGGGATTTAGCCGGGCAGGCTGGGAGAGTATGTGTCTCCCTCCATCCCTTCCCTGGGCTAACTTCCATTCTTCCCTGTCAAGAGCCTTTTCACAGCTATTTTCAAGAGGAAATGCTTTTTAATGTATCACTAAATGTTTTGTTATTTCATAGTGGTTGCCAGCCAGAGATAACGTTTTTTCAAATCTTTAGGTTTCCTTTGACATGTGGGAACCCACCTACAAATCTGGGGGATTTTATTTATTTATTTTTTTAGCTGGAGTGCAGCAGCAGAGGAGGGACTTGTATTGTAGTTACAGCCTCGAGAATTGGTATCTCTAGATATTTAACAGTATCCCTTCAGTGGAGGGAAGGTCAAGCTCCTGAGAGTTGTTTGGTGGAATCCCTCGGATGCCCTTGGTATCCAGTAACTGGAAGAAGCCCAGTGTCCTGGTTGGGCTGGGATAGAGCCGGTTGGGGTTATCCACGACACACGGCACAGCTCCCGCCGGGGCCTCAACCCAAAGGTCAAGTTCGTTTTACTTCTGGGCTCTCACTCTTTCCTTTTTCGTGTCTGTGAGGGGAAATCCTGTGGCGGGGGAATCTTTTCACTCTGTCCCACGCTCAGGCCCGCGGATCTCCGCGCGGAAAGGGCCCGCAGCCCACGATATACCGTTTATCATTTTAAAAAGCCATTTTAGTTTGTGGAGACCCGCCCCCCGTCGCGGTCCGGGCGGGACTGACCCGCCCCCCCCGCGGCCCCTCCGGCCCCTCCCTCGGGCCCCGCCCCCCGCCAGTCCCGACCAATGAGGAGCTGCGGGGCGGGCACGCGGGAAGGGTTTCCCGGGCTGCCTCGCGCCGCCGTGACGTGCCGCTCCCGGCAGAGCCCGCGCCCAATGGACGGTCGCCTTAAAAAGCCAGGTGGGTGCGGGCGGAGAGAGCGGCGAGCGGATTGGGCGGCGCGGCGGCGGCGGTTCCGGCCATGCGGCGCCGGGCGCGGTCCCATCATGGCGGGACGGAGGTGAGCGCGGCCGGGGCTCCCCGCCGGCCCCAGGGGTGCAGGGCCGGCCCCGCAGGCGGGACGGGCTGTGCGGGGTGGGCGGCACCTACAGGGTGTCCCAAAAACCCGGCCCAGCAGGTGCCGGTGCTGTCACCGGCCGGAGCGCAGTAACAGGGTCCGGCCGGGCCGGCAGCTCCTCTGCGGGGGTTTGATGTTATCAGCGCCTTTTCGGGCGTTACAGCCCGTGTGTCTTGTGTGTACAACGTCATGTTTATGTGTGTTTTACTCCCTGGGTGCTGTACAGATTCTTGGCGCTTTTTTCTGGAATTTAGGCTTTACTTAAACCAGGTGTTTACTAAAGGTCTTATTGCAGAGCCTTAATACTTATCAAGTCTTAATTTTGTTAATTATTTTTACAAAGAACTTCATGTGCCTTTCAATGTGTAAGATGTCTTCAGCTCACCCTTCAGCATCCTTTTACTGGAGGGGGCTTTTGAGGAAATCGCTGCAGCTGTGATGTATTTGGTATCTCCAGCACATGTTGGCTTCCCCACCCCTCGGAGCCTTCTGGAAACTGAAGAAAGCTTTTTTTTTTTTTCTTTCCATGCTTAGGAAGCAGCTGTCAGGTAATAGCAGGATTTAGTTGTCACATAACAGCTGCTTTGCTAACTCAGCTGCCACTGCTTTCTGAGTTTTTTTAAATAAAACTATGTAGTTCAAAGTTATTTCAAAATAACCTAGATTTCTCTTTTTTTTTCATAATGACAGATGTTTCATTTTTAATCAAGGCATTATGATGATGACAAAAACTTCTTAAGACCTCATGAGATACAGGGTAAAACTGACTTATCTGTATCAATCTAGCTGTATAAGTCCAACAAATTTTTGAAATATTGGTTCATTTCATCCATAGTGGTGTTTTCATGGATTTATTTTTTTATTTTAAAGAAATTAGTATTTTAAAAAAAGCACATTCTAACTTGCTCTTATGATTTTAATGCTTGTTAATTTTTTCTTCTAGATAAGGAGCCCAGCATAAGTCTGAGACTGCTGTAGTACAATCTCCAGAATTTGACACCTCTCCTAGTGAATGTTGTTATCTTCTAGAAAAGTGAGTGTGTTTAAAAAAAAAAGCCTCTTTGGTGATGTATTGTCTTAAAGTTTAACACTTTTTGTCAGAAGAAAATGAATAGAGAAACCTCCCTTGTATTTATTAACTTCTCTGTAAATTTAGGGTGTTGTCCAAAGGTGGTGTTTTATTAGATGCATTTGTATAATAATCTCTGTAACATCATTTGTGGTGTTTTTGCTCAGTCTGTGTTCAGAGTTATCAGTTATCCTTGATTTAAAATACGTAGGTTGCTTATAGTAATCAGCATTTTTTGCTGTAGGTGCACAGAGATATTTATACCTCTGTCTATAAACTGATTGTTAAATCTTGGCTTTTTTGCTCAGCTGAGCTTGAGCCACAGATAGATTTTCAGTGTGGTTTTTGTCTTTGAAGTCAGTCTATTTAAAATTCTGCTCTGTAGCTTGAAAAAAACCCCCTCCCTGTAGCGACGTTTACATATGAATTCTCATCAATCACTTTTTTCCCCCCATGATTCTGATGCAATGAGCTTTTAGTATTGCTCAGAGAGTGTGTGAGTGTGTGCCCTGTGGTTCCTGGGCACTGCTCTGCCCATGCAGTGCCCCAGGGGGTAGCAATGGGCCAACAGTGACACTGTGATTTTTGCGTGGAACCTGTGACCTGTGAGCAGCTTCCACAGCCCGGTCACAGTCACACCCCAGACCTCCACCCTGCCTTCATGTGTCAGAGATTACCTGCATCTGGCAGCTGGGCCAGTCTCCCAAACCTCTGCAGTTATCACTAGATTGGGAAGGCTGAGCTTGATCTGAGTAAAACCTGCAGATCCTCCGTCCTCAGGTCAGCGGGCTTGGAGGGGAGAAGCTTTAAGGCTGCATTCTTTTATCATCTCCATTGTCTCTGTGATCAAATTACTGAGAAATGACATGGCCTAATTAGTGTTCCAAGGAAGGATGATGAAAACTCTCCTACACAGTGTAACTCACTGTGCTAAGGCCAGTTATTACCTTTTTAAGAGGTTCTTATCGTTTTAAGAACACGTCCAGGCCGTGTCCACGTGTTCCTTGGCAGCCCATGACTTCTCCTCCAGCTCCTGTGTCACCTGTGCACCAGGTTGGGGGATTCTCAATAATAATAATATGATAATGATAAATCAGGTTTCTTAGTGGATGTGTCATTAATACAAAAAGGTTGAGTGATGGGGTTGGTCTGGAGGTCTCATTTCGGGGCACATTTTTTTCACCTGGGCTCAATGCATTGAGCTGGCAGTTTCTGTGGTGGTCTGGGTTTCATGTAAGTAAATCTTTTGGAATTTAGGCAGCCTGTCAGCTGTAACTGAAGTATTGTCTTCATGCATTTACATTTGCTGCTGCTCATGGTTAGTGTTTACAAATCGGAGTAAATCAGAAGACTCAGTCCTTGTGCCATCGTGTGTAATTCTGCAATGCTGAGTGGAGCTTGAGTGCTCAGTTCCTTCTGGTGTGAGTGCTCAGGAGCCACAGCACTGAAGTTAGAGGTGGGAGAACCTGTTTGTTCTGTGCAGTCATCTCTTACAATCTCCATAACCAGTTTTCTCCTCTTAGGGAGCTCCTCTCTTAACTATCCTTATTCCCCACAGCTTTTGCTTCGTGCTTGCTGTGCATTTTCTTGAAATCTGAGCCCTTTGAATGTTGCAGCAGGTCTGGAACACCAGACAGCTCTGTTGTGTGTTCCTTATCACGTTGAGAATTCTCCTCCCTGTGTTGCTTGTACGTTATTTTACTTGTAGTGATTTTTCATTGACTTGACATTCTTCAGAATTTGAGAATGGCTTTGGGCTCTGGTGGCCAAAACCCACTAAATAAAAAAAGACTTTCAGGAAATGGCCAGCAAGAGGTAGTCCATTGTGGCTTAGGTCTGATATACTTAAAAACTAAAGGGAAAAGAAGGGACTAGAAAGAGATTTGTGGTTTTGCTGTTATCTGTAAGTTAGAGCTTCTAAAGATTCACAGCTGAGGTCTTGGGGGTTTTTCCTCATCTGTTTGAATTCTTTCCACATGTTCATCTTTCTCAACTGTGCTCTTTGCAGTCTGGCTGCTTTTAGGGGCATCTGAGAATGGTGGCCTGGCCTGATGGAAAAGTGCTGCTTTAAACACTTAAATGGTGGGAGTAGATGTACAATGGAAAGGAGCCTCTTCAGTAGTCTTAATTCCTACATTTAAACTAAGGCTGCTGCTGGAGGGTCAGTTTGAACTTGGAAACTTTTCCGAAAGAAAAAAACCCCCAAACTTGTAACCAAAAAATAATTTGCCCTTTGACTGTTTTCTGCAGGAAACAGAAATAAAAGCACAATAAAAAGTGAACAACCGTAGTTGAATGAATGGAGAATCCTTTTCCTGTTCCAAAACTTTGGTCAAAATTAGGCTTTTTTTAGATTAAAGTGGTTGCTTCCATGTCTACACTGCATGAAGCTCTTCAGACAACTGAACTGTGGTTTGGTAGTATGGATTTGTAAGACATTAAGTTGTAGTTGTGAAGTTACTTTTTCTCCCTCCTGTTCAATATGTATTTTCTTTTCTCTCCTTGGACGTTGCTGGGAAAGGATGGTTCAACAAGTTCCAGAAAACATAAGTTTTCCAAATGAGGAAGAGAAGATATTGAAGCTCTGGAGAAATCTGAATTGTTTCCAAGAATGCCTGAAGCAATCGAAGAACAGACCTAGGTAAGGATCTGTTCAAAGCTGTAGCAGCTGTGTGTGACAGTGCAGGGTTGGCTTGCCTGTAATTCTTGCCTTTGCCTTGGCTCTGTGAGCAGCAGCTGCTTCCTTTGCCCCTGGCTCGTGCTGCTGTCCTGCCATTGCCCCTTAGATTTCACTTTGTGAAGCATCAGAAATGTTCAAACAGTGGTAATAAACCTGTAACTTCCTGCTTGGTGGGTTTATAAAAGAAATGTGCAGGTGAGCAAGGCCAGCTCTTTGCCAGGCGTGCCAGCTGTGGAGCTGTAGGAATCTTGGTAGAACTGGCAGTCAGGAGGAACTGAACTGGAATGTTGCCTCTAGTCCCCCTGCCAGTGTGACACCTGATAATGGGAGAGGAAGAAACTGATGTTGTCCTAGTGAGACATAAGAATCAAAAGCTCCATTTAGACTTACCCTGTTTGAAGGCAGTGTGTGCTTCAGTTAAGACTGTTCTGTGCTGCAGGTTTAACTTCTACGACGGCCCCCCCTTTGCTACTGGGCTCCCCCACTATGGCCATATCCTGGCAGGAACCATCAAAGACATCGTGACCAGATTTGCTCATCAGAGTGGTTTTCACGTGGACAGAAGGTTTGGCTGGGATTGCCATGGCTTACCTGTGGTACGTGTCACAAATTTGCCCACAGATGTGTCTGTTGGTTGCTCTTTCCGTGTTGTTCCCTGCTCATCAGTCACCTTTCTGTTGCACTTGCATATTTTTTAAAAGAGAAATGCAAGTTCTGTGGCCGCTGCGTTGCTCTGGGGTTTGTGTGTGGTGATTTCAGGAGCTTCCTCCTGGTCACCTGCACTTGGTTCGTTGCTATAAACGTGTATTTATTTGGTACGTTTTTCAGAAATTGGTTTTTTTTGTTCATTTTTCTAAAGATAGCATAGAAACAGTTACACCAGGGCAAGCCTTTGAAATCCCTGCCTGGTTCAGGTGCAGTACTCACGAAAGCATCTCCAGAGGGTGTAAAGCAGGCCCTTTAGCCTCAGCAGGATGCACAGAACACAAATGATCCAGAGAAATCCCGAAAGCTTTTGCTAACAGGGCGGGTGCTTTGTTCTGGTTGTTTCAATGCTCCCAGGAATACGAGATTGACAAGACCTTGGGCATCAAAGGGCCGGAGGATGTGGCCAAGATGGGGATTGAATCCTACAACAACCAGTGCAGAGGGATTGTGATGAGATACGCCAAGGAGTGGGAGGTAAGTGGAGGCACAGCCCATGTTCTGCTGGGTGTTTCTAAATGGATGTGTGCAGAAGTTTTTCAGGAAGGGTGAACTTCATCCTTCTGTTTGATTCTGAGCATAAATCTCATACCTTTAAGCTTCTGTGTGTTCCTCACTCGTGATCCTGAAAGGGGAACACGAAGAGCTCCGTTGTGGCTCAGAACAGAGACTGCTCTGGTGTCAGAGGAGGGTGATTTGCAGGTTACCTGGAGCTCAAAGGGTCTAATGAGATACATTGAACAAATAATAGATACCTTGAGTGTTGTCTCTTTCTTTGTGCCTTCCCTTCTGTAGAAAATTGAAAGATCTGGCTTTGGTTTTCAAGTGGAACAATAAAGAAAAAGCACATTAACCTCCCTGCTTTTCTGCTCTCCCTTTCCCCAGTCATTTCATTGGCAGAGTGTAGGGAGTAGCTCGTGTTTTTGGAAGAACAGAAGTTCTAGCATCTGATTTTCTGTCACAATAGGTGTGGGTAAACCCTCAGTCTTCCCAGAGAATATTTTGCATCCCATGAATTTAGGGAGAACATTGTTCTATGCAGACTCTTGTGGCTGGAGAGCTGTTTGAAGTAGGTGGGTTAGATATTTTTTAAAGAAATGCGCAGTTGTTTTTTTCTAATTTAGAATAATATTCATCCTGTGCATAGAACCTGATGCTCCTTATTTTTGTCCTTAGCAGTGTGCCCAGAATAAAGTACAGTTAGCCCAGAACTCTGTATTTGCTGTCAGTGGGATGTGTGTGTGAAGTGATGACTCCTTTTTTCCATGATTTTCTGGAGCTGAGGAGTGCCCAGGTGCTTTCCTGGCTGTGCCTCTGTTTTACAGTGCCAGCCTGCAGTAACAAGTGCCAAAGGAAGGATGGAAGAACAGGCCATATTTTTTCAGCCTCTGTGCCACAAGGCCTTCTTAAGCCAAAGAGTTTTTATTTTTTTTCCCCCTAATTTATAATCCTTGGCATTTTTTTTATTCCTCTAGGACTTCTATCTGTTTACATTTTGAGTCTAGATATGCTGATGGCCTCTGAAGAGTCTGTATCAAGGCATTCTTATATGCAATTTGAAGAACTGTAGTTCTTTAATATGCTTTCCAATAAATGTTTGTCTTTACCAGCAGTTTTTTCCTTTTTCTAGGCAGAACAGCCCTAATTATTTAGTTTTTCTTCCTGCAGAAGCTGTTCTACCTCATCACACTCCTCTGTATGTTTTCTAGTCCTGACATACTTCTTTCCATCAAAATAGCAATTCCTCATTTGAGTACCACTTGCCTCTTGCACCTGGGGAGCATTTTGAGGTTGTAGCCAGTATCTGGAGACACTAGAGCTGTATTTGGTAGAAGAGCTGTGGCCTGAGTCTTGGCAAGTGGCTGGATGAAAAGCACAGGGATTGTACATTTGAAAAAAAAAAATCTTTAGTCTAAGCTCTGAAATTTTGTATTTTAAAACCATCGTTAATGATTCTTTGTTGCTTCTGGAAATATAAGTAACAAGATTCTTTCTGGTTCCTTGTGGTGGTTTAACCCCAGCTGGCAGCCAAGTAGCACACAGTCACTCACTCCCCCCTGGCTCAGAGGGGAAGATAACTGGAAAAACAAAGAAAACTCTTGGGTGGAGATAAGAACAGTTTAATTGAAACAAAATAAAATATTATAACAATGCTGCTGGTAATAATAATTGTAATGAAAAGGAGAGGGAGGAGTAAAACCCAAAAAACCCAGGTGATGCCCAGTACAGTTGCTGACCCACTCCCAGCCTGTCTCT